TTACATACAAAGCAGTAGCGTCTCGAAAATGGAACACGAATAAGGGGCATTTCAATCGTATCGTTATTTTGAGATGGTGTGTTACCATCTGACGAGATCGAATGAAGAGCACGTCGTTTAGCTGGTGCAGAGGTATGTTTAATATCAAACGAGTATTCTTGCAATTGTAATGACCAACGATCGAGGCGACCATTCTGGGACGGCTGTTTGTTCAGCCGGCACAACGGATGATGATCGGTAATCAGGGTGAATTCTCGTTCATATAAATACGGTCATAATTTTGTAATGCACCACACTATAGCCAAACATACTTTTTCGACGACCGAATATTTTTGTTCACGTTTGGACAATGATCTGGACAAATACTGAACTGGTTGTAGGTGTCCGTCTGATGCGACTTTGTGTAAAACTCCGCCTATACCCGTACTGGATGCATCGGTATTGATCTTCAATTTTAATTTGGATTTTTCATTGTAGAATGCTAGTAATGAATATTGGGATAATTTTTCTTTCAATGTATCGAACGATTTCTGGTGTCCATTGAAATGTTGCATTTTTGTTCTTGAACATAATCCAATGGAGCGGCGATGCTCGCAAAGTCTTTGATGAACCGACGGTAAAATTGTGCCATTTGAACGAAGGAATAGGCTGCTTTAATTGATGTTGGTGTTGGAAAATCAATGGTTTTCTTTACGTTCGTTGTTGTTGGTTTGATAACCCTCTTGTGTGATGCGAAAGCCAAGATAGTCGAGTTGTTTTTTTTGCCAATGAACATTTGCCTGCATTCAGTTTGACATTGGCTTTTCTTATGCGTCTAGTACGAGGTCCAGACGTTGTACGTGTTTGCTGAACGATGGTGAGTAGGTGATTATGTCATCCAGATATACCAGTGTTATATCCCACCGTAATGCACCCAACACCGAGTTAATTATGCGTTGGAATGTGGCGGGTCGTTGGATAGACCAAATGGAAGTACATTGAATTCGTACAAGTCATCGGTTGTCACGAATGCTGTCTTCTTTTTGTCTTGTTCATCAACTGGGATCTGCCAGTATCCCGCTTTGAGATCGAGAATTGTAAAATATTTTAATCCCGCTAATTTATCGATAATGTTGTCAGTTCGTGGTAGCGGATACTCATCCCGTTCAGTAATCAAATTCAAACGTCTATAATCCACACAAAAACGAGGACTACCGTCCATTTTCTTGATAATAACGACCCCGCCCACATTCAGCCAAAATCCATTCACACACGCATACAAACTAACCTCTAGTCATATGGTTGGATAGAGGATGATGAGTTGTCCTGATGTCTCCCCACATCTCATCCAGAAATTTCCTCTAAAGAAACAAAAGGTTTGCTTTTTTTGTATTATGATAGCATATTACTCTGTATTGTCTAGTTACCTTTAAGTGATTAATGATAGTGATGATATCGTTCATCTATACACATATTCAGAGTCTTTAAAGTCAGTTGATGATGATCATTGTCAATGTATCTGTCTATTTGCCACTAATGAACTATAAATCTGAACTTATCTGAACACTAATACTATTGTCTGTCCAAAAATTCAGTGGACTCGAATATTTTTTGAATAACTCGAGAACGGAATAAGCTAGAGAGCGGCGGTTTTCAGATTATGAAAGAGCACAATCGGTGACATAATCCTGTAGTAAAAGGAGTCTTATCAGACAGGCGTACCGCGGTGTACCGTTCGAAGCAAAAAGTCCGAGTCTGTCATTCCTGAAATACACATAGCGAATTATTTCACTAAATACGTGCCGATATAGAGCAGATATCGTTCTACAACATGGCACAAGTTTCACACATCCATCTACCATGGTTCGGATGCTACAGAGAATCTCCGAGGACCTACCTATTGGCCAACTCTGCGTTCTAGGAACCTCAAAAATACATGGTACATAGACTATCGAACTCGCTGATTACTGTGGCAATGTTTGTTTTGTTGTCTGGATTAAGAGAAATGCAGACGATTCTTTCGGAAAATATGATTTTAGTATGATCGCAGTGGAA